CATGGAGGCCTGTACACCACTGACGCACGGGCACGGGACGACGGACCGTGTGTTTGTGTTAGTGTAGTGAGTGCTCACGGGGAGCAAACACGGTTCCGTCCCGTGATCGTGTAGTGTGAAAGCTCTGCATAGCCTAGGTGTGCCACTGGCAAGACGTTTTTCCGTCACGATAAAATCGTTCTCGGGGTGAAGAAGGCCTTAGGGATTAAACTTCAAAGAAATAATCCTTTGCGTAGGATCTTATATAAGAAAAAAAAGGAAAAAGAAAGGAAAAGAAAGAAAATGGCAACCATGGTAAACAGTTTGGAGGGTAAGAGACACATGAATGCGGGCAGGACATTTTAGTTATTCTGTGATCAGAATGAAATTGAGGAATGTATAAGTGGGAAATGCAACTAGCTCTGCTAATTAACAATTTATTAAAGACAAAAGAAATACAAAATTGGTACAAAGAACTAAATAACTAAAATTATGGTACTGATTGGATGTTAATCATCTGCTACTTTCTTTCCACTTATGTCTGTATGTGTACATTATATATGTATATATGTGTGTGTGTACGATATAGATTCTTGATCAGAACAATATTGATTATCATTACATGATAAAAAATTTAGTTCGATAGTTGTCAGGCTAACAGTATGGGTTTCCCCCCTCTCCTGTGGGGATCTATAACCGTTTTCTTAATGCGATTATTCCTGTTTTCGACAAGAAATAGCCAGATGTTTACATTATATATTCATATATTTCATTTTTAATATTCGTCCTTTTACTCATTTACGTGTTCAGAAGTAGGAGTGACACATCTTTATCTTTACTAAAGAGTTATATAACAATATATACAAAAACGTATTTGTCCGTTTGTTTAACTCGCCTTAGGCAAAATGCTCGTTCAATATATCCACCGCTTATCACATTCATTACACGCTCTCAAGAAGAAAGTTTAATTTAACTGCAATACATTTAATTGAGAGATACTTTGCACGGTGGAAATACACTGGATCGGTGTATTGGTTCTCAAACAGGTGTGCCCTCCGCACTTATCTTGATCATCTGCGGCGATACAGCATGGGAAAACTATAAAGCAATTTGTAGGCCTTGATGTCACCGCTACCTTCTCACGGTTGCGTGATCCTGGGACGGCGCTGAGGCGGTTGGGCATAAGTCAGTGGCCTGAATAGTGTGTCGACCCGTTATATGTGACTTTTACCTGCGACCGCGTGCTCCTGAATTCGTGGTTTGGATCTCCGTGGCTACACTTTTCATTATCTACGATCCTAGTCAGTCTCCTTCCCTAGTGAGTTCGTGGATCTGATTTGAGTATATTTAAACTTAATTTTATGATTGCGTGACTTGTCAACTCAGGTTTGATCCCCTGGGACTAGAAAACATCTGCCATGTCAAACAAAATTCCCGTTTTACAAGTCTTAGACATCGTGTTGCTGATGCAAGATAATTGGTTCAGTATTATTATCATTACTGTTACTGTTGTTATTGTCATTATTATTATTACCAGTATATTATCATTATCATTGTTGTTGCTGTTATTATAATCATTTATTACCACAGTTAAAATTATTTTCATCATTATCATTATTTTCATAGCCATCATAATTTTCACTATTATTATCATTAGTATTAGTATCATGATCATAATTTTCACTATTATTAGTAGTATTATTCTTGTTATTATCATGGTCATAATCATCATGATTATGTTGACCATCACTATTAATATATACATTTTTATCATTGTTATCGCCATCATCATAGCATAATCACGACCCTCATCTTTCCCGATCCTCTGCAGCTGGAAGGCCTCGGAGCGCAGGTCTGTGGCTCCCTACTACACCTGCTTTCCCTCGACCTCTCAAACAACAGTATCGCCAACGTCACCTCTCTTGACCTCGCCACATACCCGTCTCTGCAGGATCTCAACCTCTCTCACAACGCCCTAAAAAAATTCCCTCTCAACATAACCGATCTATTGCCTAGACTCAAGACTCTGAACGTCAGTTCCACTTCCATAAGAAATTTAACCAGGTGAGCTATGGAGGATCTTACGATCCGGAAGAGGCCAGACTGGTGTCTTTTTTTTTTTTTTTTTTTTTTTTTTTTTTTTTTTTTTGCCTCGAACTTGGGAACGACAGCAAGCAGAGGTTGAATGTTGGGGAAACGAAGGTAATGTGCCTGAGGCATTACAGGCCTACAAATTATTAACAGTAATGTTCCATAGCTCATATGTAAAAGATTTCACTAAAACTTCTTTACATGAATCTACATAAATAATGAAGAAATGGACAACGTTTGGCAGTTACTGAATCTATAATAAAAAAAATGTAAACGTAAAATATAAAAGTTGTTCCTTTTTGTCTTAAAATTCTAAAAGGCATATATCGTTGGAGACCAAGGATCAAAACGGACTACACATGCTAAATAGATAAGGGACTTGATTCTGTGCATACCATCAACATAACATGCTTTTTTCGTTTTTTTTTCTTTGCAGTGGGACCTCGGGACTGTGTATTATTTTCGGAGACAACTCTATGGTATGTAACCGTTACGGTGTCCAAATTGTGCACATTTAGTTTGAGTGTGCTAATATGATTCAGACATACATATCTATCTGTCTGTCTACCTGTCTGTCTGTCAGTCTGCTTTTGTGTATCTATACACATATATATACATATATATCCACATGCAATCTTTCTCCGGACTTCCGACAGCCTGAGAAACACTCTTAGAAGATTTAAACGCGAAAATCTGGAAACCAAAATTTAATACTACCAGATATTATGTGTTAACTGCACCTTACTCTACTAGACACATAAACGCCAATATTGTAACGTAACAATAACTTTACAGAATAAACAGTTTATCATTATCATCATTAATATTGTTATTATAATTATAATTATTACTAGTATTACTACTGTTGTTTTATAATATTATTATGAGTATCATTAGCATTAATTTTATTGTAAGATTAGCATTATTGATATTACTGTAATTAACATTGTTGTTGCTGTTATTAACATTATCTACATTATATTATTGTTATCATTATCATCATTGTCTTTATCACTCTCATTACTATTATTATGATGCTGCTGCTGATGATTTTAGTTAAGAGTACGTGATGATTATATACAACCAAGGTCCTCTGGCAGGTGAACTGCAGCCACGGTCAAGGCGGGGAAAAGGAAGGTCAAGGGAAGCCCGAGGTGAGACTTACGTTGAAATGGTTTGAATGCATGTGGTTTTGTCTATCTATACACATATATGTACATATATATCCACGTGCAATCTTTCTCCAGACTTCCGTCAGCCTAAGAAACACTCTTCGAAGATTTAAACGCGAAAATCTGGGAACCAAAATTTGATATTACCAGATATGTGTTAATTGCACCTTATTCTACTAGACACATAAATGCCAATATTGTAACGTAACCATACCTTTACAGAATAAACTGTTTATCATTATCATCATTAATATTGTTATTATAATTATAATTATTACTAGTATTACTACTGTTGTTTTATAATATTATTATGAGTATCATTAGCATTAATTTTATTGTAAGATTAGCATTATTGATATTACTGTAATTAACATTGTTGTTGCTGTTATTAACATTATCTACATATATTATTGTTATCATTATCATCATTGTCTTTATCACTTCTCATTACTATTATTATGATGCTGCTGCTGATGATTTTAGTTAAGAGTACGTGATGATTATATACAACCAAGGTCCTCTGGCAGGTGAACTGCAGCCACGGTCAAGGCGGGGAAAAGGAAGGTCAAGGGAAGCCCGAGGTGAGACTTACGTTGAAATGGTTTGAATGCATGTGGTATGTTATCATTATCATCACTTATATTGTTATTATCATTATTATAATTATTACTAGTATTACTACTGTTGTTTTATAATATTATTATGAGTATCATTAGCATTAATATTATTGTAAGATTATCATTATTGATATTACTGTAATTAACATTGTTGTTGTTGTTAACATTATTTACATAATATTATTGTTATCATTATCACCATTGTCTTTATCATTCTCATTACTATTAGTATGATGCTGCTGCTGATGATTTTAGTTAAGAGTATTTGATGATTATATACAACCAAGTCCTCTGGCAGGTGAACTGCAGCCACGGTCAAGGCGGGGAAAAGGAAGGTCAAGGGAAGCCCGAGGTGAGACTTACGTTGAATTGGTTTGAATGCATGTGGTTTGTGCCTCCGGTTGGTTGTCGAGGTTTGGATGTATGCATATTCTTCTCAAAAGCGAGTGCGTCTTATAGTACATTCAGACATACATATCTATCTGTCTGTCTACCTGTCTATCTGTCAGTCTGCTTTTGTCTATCAATACACATATATGTACATATATATCCACATGCAATCTTTCTCCAGACTTCCGACAGCCTGAGAAACACTCTTCGAAGATTTAAACGCGAAAATCTGGGAACCAAAATTTGATATTACCAGATATGTGTAAAATTGCACCTTATTCTACTAGACACATAAATGCCAATATTGTAACGTAACAATAACTTTACAAAATAAACTGTTTATCATTATCATCATTAATATTGTTATTATCATTATTATAATCATTGCTAGTATTAATATTATTGTTGTTATATTATTTTTATGACTAACATTAGCATTTGTATTATTGTAAGATTATCATTATTGATATTACTGTAATTAACATTGTTCTTGCTGTTATTAGCATTATTTACATTATATTATTGTTATCATTATCATAATTGTCTTAATCATTCTCATTCTCCTTATTATTACTATTATTAGCTGCTGATGATGATTTTAGGTATGAGTACGTGATGATTATTTATAACCAAGGTCCTCTGGCAGAACTGCAGTTGCCCAGATCATACAATCTCGATAATAGTCAGTGCCGCCATCATCATAGCAGTCATATTCTGCGTGTGTATCATGTATGTCAGGCGTTGGTACTCCCCTGGAGGATACACCACGAAGGAGATTGAAGGCACGAGTGAGGTAAGTCACTGTCCAGTCATGGTTTTCGTTTGATCATGGTTTTAGCTGTTGCCATGTCAGTGATTTTATTCGTCATCGGTTCATGGTGGTCGTGGAATTTAGTGGTGCGAAAGTGCCGAGAACAGGGCCTTGCATCAGCATCAAGGACAGATAGTTCTAAAATGAACAGCTGTGACCAATGACCTTATATGTCTCCTGTGACCACACGCAACGCAGACGGATAAATCTTTCCCCTTCCATTGGTAAAAAAAAATAGGCTTTGGTGTAACTTGTCACATCTCTTACTGGAATTTTGCTGTTACATCTTGTACTTCATGACGAATATTTTCTTCTCAATATTCTCTGCTTAGAGTACTTGGGCTATGTTGTTTTGGCCCCATACAAGGGAATCTACACACATACGTACGCATGCACGTACACACGTGTTAGTGCCGATTAATGTAGACTTGAACAACAGAAGGCAACTGGTGCTGATTCGACTAAACTTAGTCCTAACCCAGTGTGGTGCCCAACCACTGCAGTAACCTCCAGGCGACTGTTGAAACTTCTCGCGCCTAGGCGGAACGCGAACCGCCGACCCCTCGAATGAGAGGCCAGCAAAACCTCCAAAAGATAGATTGCATCCCCCTATGAGCTATACAGTAGAAAATTCGTAACACGGCTGGCGGCGGCCATCTTGGAATTTGTCGCCCCATGCGTTAAACTTGTTGGGAATTCTGGGGGACTTTATGGCAGCTTTCTATTTTTTTCCAACTCATAGTATATTATGTAATGCTCCTGGGCTACGCGATGAGTTCAAAAAGCTACGTTTAATTTCTGATGTGATAGATATAGACATAGATTAGATAATTTCATAAATATGTCTATATTTGTCTTACTTTATGATACAACCAAAGGCAGTATCGTCCATCGTACTCCGGGAAACCATCCTCTAAAGCAGTGGTTCCCAAACTGGGGGCCATAATCTAAGGATATGTATATATAAAACAAAAGGAGTTTAGCAGATAGGCAGCCAATGGGGCGAACTTACAGGTTTGTGCAATGCCTTGCGCCAGTAATATATTCCTTTTTCTTCTGTACAGTAACTTCTTTATCTGATTACGTGTTCTTGACATAAAGCAAGACATTGAGACGTTGTAAATAACTTAATTATAACATAATTGTAAGGTTTCCTGAGCTATCTTTTATTTTCTTGTGGTTTGTTTAATGTTAAAACAGCTTCTCGCAATAATGTAATTTTTAAAATAATTCTAAGTATGGATAATTTTTATCTGCAATATGTCGATAAAGGCAAGCTACAAATGCTTTATCAATACTTAGAAAAACAATAAAAAGTGAAAAATAACAAATGTAATCAACAGAATTACAGGATTTGCTAGAGTGTAGGACTATAGACAGTCACAGTAGGTATGGGTTCTGCTTGGATCATGTATGAAGAGTGGAGAACGCCCACTGCTATAAACCTTCCATAATTAATGAGTATTGCACTTGTTAGCTGCATGTGACTATTACGTTCACACATACTATTCAGATTTATAATGATTTCACTTAGTAGGAGAAGCATTCTCTTGGAAGCTGGTGTGGGCTGCATCCTATAGTGTCCAGAGATTAGGAAGAAGCAGGAACAGGAAAGGACAGGAGACTGAGAACGGACAGGAAATGGAGTTAAACAGGAGGTTAACTTTAGAAAAAAAATAAGTGTAACTTATAATGATAGCTACTTGCTATGTGCCATTTTTCCTCGTGCTGATCGAACCTTAACGGTGATGCTGTGTCTGTAACAGTTATTGATCACTAAGCTGGGGGATGAGATATTAACCTACAGTAAACAAGATTCCTTTATGATTCTTGCTTATTTTCTTTCCAGTGCAAGTACTCAGTGTTCGTTGTCCACTCCTCAAAAGACCATGAGATGGTTCGAGAAAACCTTATCATACCACTTTTCCAACGCGGATACAGTGTAGCCTGGCACGAGAATGCGTTTGTTCCCGGGGCGTGGATATTGGGTATGTACTCGTGACACTGCTGACTTCAGCAGGATTGAAATCATTATTGTTAACATCATTATTTTGGTCATTATTCTTTTTGTAATGTTAGTGTCGTGTGTCATAACTCCATATTGTTGTTTTTTGGAAGTTCGTTATAACGGGATGTATAGAGACCACACACACGCATACACATATATACAGTATATTTATCTATCTGTATTTATATAGAGATTATACACTGTATATGTACAATATATATCCGTTTGTCTATCTATCTATATATAGATTGATATATACTGTATATATACTGTATATATACTAATCTAAATATAGTAATTTACTTATCTATCTGTATAATCTATATACATCTCTCTCTATATATAGCATGTACATATGTACACACACACACACACACACACACACACATATATATGTGTGTTTGTATGTACATATATAAGCCTGGTGTATTTTACGATACTGCCACCAGCCGGACATTGACTGCTTCCTGCTGTGGCAATTATACCTATGTTGATATGTATGTTCATAGTGGAAATGTGTGAATAACGAATGTGTATTATTGAACGTGTGATGTGTAGACATTGTTATGTGTGTGATAACATTAGTCAACTAAATAGGTGAGGACTATTTAACCCTATATAAAATAGGCTATACAAGGTAACATATCTATTGTAATAAATTACTATAGGTATGTGTGTCTGTCACTAAAGAAACAACAGTTTACAACCATTTATGCGGTAAGCACTTAGGAATTATGCGAGGTCAGCATTGCACATGCATATATATATATATATATATATATATATATATATATATATATATATATATATATATATGTACATACATACATTCATACATACATACTTTTATACATACATACATTTATACCTACATACATATAAGTGCGTGCACGCACAGGCATATATCTATATATATGTATGTATATGATATACATATATGCACATACGCACATATATATGTATGTGTATATATATATATGTGTGTGTGCATATATATGTATATATACATATATATACATACATATATATACATACATGTACTATATACATTATCAACTCATTTTACACCAAAATAAATTGATTTAAAGTCCGCATTCCTATGGAATAAGATTCCAGGCATAAACTATCCACCATTCATCAGAATAAAGTGACGTGAAAATCCAGCTTAATGGACGGGTAGAACGAAGAATTATATGATTATAATTATGATAATGAAAGTGAAGATTAAGATCCTGAGAATGATGGTATTGTCATCATTTTGATGCAGATGACAGTAATGATAACAGATGAGGAGCATAATGACGGTAGTGCTAAGGATAATCATCAAAAATCATGTACATGGAAAGCAATAAAACGAGTTTAATTATAATGTGCTTGATACTTATAATTTTATCTTTATTGGAAATAGCCTATTCTTACTATTGATACATAGAAAATGATATATTATAAGGCTAATTGATCTTAATCTAGATATTTTGCAGTTTTACAATACTGAAATGATTTTGCAGAGAACATAGAGAGAGCGGTGAGAAATTCGGAAAAGATGGTGGTCTTTGCAACTGACAATCTTGCAACAAGCAGGTAAGCCTCGTTGGGCGCTTGGGCAGGGAAGACGGTGGTGAATGGGTGGAAATGGTGAAGCTCTTTGGCTATTCGTGTGTACTAAACAAACACACGCACAAACGCACCCCATATATATATACATATATACACACAATATGATGCTTTCTGTCCCGTCAGGTGTTCTCTGCAAGAGATTCGTCGCGGGCGTTGCGAGGAAATGGACAGAGAAGAATTCAAGGTTAGTCATTTATCCTTTGTAAAGTGACTCCTTGTTGAATGTCCTTTCAGATTATTATTACCAGGGATGTCATGGCCATGGTAGCATTACTCGGATTTACAAAGAAGGTCCATTTTATCGTTTATAGATAAAGAAAGAAATGTCTCATTCGTGATTATTTCTAATGGTGGTGAAGGACTTTCCAGATAGTCTAGTATACTACGTGGATGAGGAAATAAACTGTATCATTTAGTCTAATGAAATGACGAATTCGTAAATTGGCAGGTTATGGCTTTGGTCACGAAAACGCTACCGAGGGTGCTGGCGAAGGACCTGTACGAGGTCGTCGCCCTGCGCACGCACATCCAGTACAGCGACAGGTGAGCCGCGGGAGACGTGTGTTTCTATAATCATGCACACATAAATATATAAATGAAGAGACGCAATTTTTATACACATTCACACACCTATATACTTATATAAACACATATACACAGTTTATATACATATATACATTTATATATTTATCTGTTTATTTATATGTATATACGTGTGTGCGTATGTATATATGCATGTCTGTATGTGTGTGAGTGAGTGTGTGCATGCGTGTGTGTGAATATATGTATATACCTACACACTTATTCATTTGTTGACTCATAATGCGTTTCCCAATATCCTTCTTGGCTAAAGAGACTACATCGAGAAGATCTGCCGCTTCCTGCGCCCCCCGCGACCGGCTCCGGTGCAGGACGCCCCCCTTTTGAGCGCCACCAATATCCGGTCGCATCTGGATCGCTTTGATGAAATGCGGAGAGGACACAGTAAGTGAAAGGAGAATGAGTAAGTGTTGACATTCAGCCCAAGATATACATTTGCCAATGGCCACCTATTATACCCTCTATCTGTCGTCATTGCAGGGGATCGGAGCATGTCTGAGGTAGTGCATTTGCATCGCGATAATGAGGGTTATGTCATCGACCAGTACACCGCGTCTATCAACAAAGGTAAGTTTCTCAAGACGGTGTTGAAGTGAAGCATGCGTGCATACTGTTGCATTGTTCTGTACCTTGCGTTCTTGGATACTTGACGGCAGGAGATTTAACTAGCTTTGATTTATATAAAAGTACAAATACAATTAAAGATTGTGAGTGTAAGCTAAGTGATTCACATTCGTACACTATAAATCAAATTTCCAAGCAGGATAGTTCATTTTACATTATTAGTATTACATATTAATTTGTATATATATATATATATATATATATATATATATATATATATATATATATATATATATACATATATATATATATACATTTTTTTTTTTTTTTTTTTTACAGGAGCGAGGGTGTCACCCTGGTCACAGATGTCGCAAGAGGATCGGGTTCAGATGCTTTTAAAGTAAAGGCGTTTTGCAGACCAACGTTGTGTTGGTGTGCAACTGTTTTGTTTATTAGCATATTGTTTACTATTACTGCGTTTTTATTCATACAGTGCTACAGAAGATTCAGGTCTTAATAATGTTTTCAACAGATACACGAAGAGCCCAGAAATGCCGACAGAAAGCTACGCAGAAACAAGGAGTGTAAGCTACGTGTTAATGGATCAGGAAAACGGTCAGTTTATATCCAGTTAAGCAAAACGTTATACTTTACAGTACCAGTGTTTTATTGATTAATATATCGTTGAATTTATTTTATTGTATTTATTTACTGTTTCATCAAAATATTTTACTGAAGAATCGGCTGATGTCCATTGTTTTTCTTTTCACATTTTTTTCCAGACGGTAACGAGGATGAAGATTCGTTCCAGTTGGTCACTTCCTCCAGGTTCTTCATCACAAGAACTTCCTGTCGGTTCTGAGAGGGAGAGGGAGAGAAAGCAAGAGAGTGAGTGAGAGTGAATGAGAGAGTAGAAGAGCGAGAGAGCAACAGAGCAAGAAAAGAGAACAAGAGAGCGAGAGAGAGAGAGAGACAGAGATAGACAGATAAAGATAGAAATATATGTATATGTATATATAGAGAGAGATCAAGAGAGCAAGATGGAGAGAGAGAGATCAAGAGAGTAAGAGAGTAAAAGAGAGAGAGAGTGAGCAAGAGAGGACGAGAGAGAGCAAGAGAAAAAGGGAGAGCGAGAGGGCAAGAGAGAGAGAGAGCAAAAGAGAGAAAGAGTGCAAGAGCGAGAGAGGGGGGGGGGAGCAAGGAGGGAGAGAACAAGAGAGAAAGAGCGAGAGACAAATTGTCTATATATCTACTTGTATGCATGTGCATCTAGAATCGCATACATTTAATGATACAATCAAATTATACAATTGCCTGTAAGCTAGCTATTATGTTCACCCATTGGTTTGTCTATCTGTATGTCTGTCTGTCGATGCATTATCACGCATATATACATGGAGAGAGAGAGAGTGAGAAAGAGAGAGCGTGAAAGAGAGAGAAACAGAGTGAAAGAGAGAGCGAGAGAAAGAGAAAGAGAGAGAGCAAGAGAGCGAGGGAAAACAAGGGAGCAAGAGAGGACAAGAGAGAGATGTGTATGTATATGTACCTGTTAGTGTGAATATACCTTTTAGTTAATATTGGATATGGTAATGGCCTTTTTATTACTCCCTTGTGGTAATTGGTCACCACTAGTGTCATTCCGTACTTTTTTGCATTAGTTGCCAACTCTTATAAATCCTGAAAGACTCAGCGTTTGTGTAGTTCTTCCTTATCCTTAATTCCGTCTTTGCTACCGTCCTAGTAATATTTGTATAAGCTTACTTGTGCTTATTAAAACATCCCTCCAATTAAAAATAGATAATAAATAAATAAGTAAAAAAAAATAAGGAAAAATTCAGGGTAAGAGGCCATGCTAAAATATATAGTAATGGTGGTGATGGTTTTGCCAATAAAATCAGTAAGAATGATTTCATGTTAATAAAATAATGATGTGATATAATGAACCGCGTTCATTGCACACGTAGAAAAGGTTAGAATGAGAATGAATATCTTCACAATACATAGCATGTATTTGACCGGTTTCGATTATAGCTTCGTTAGAAATACATATATAAAATATTCTCTAAGCTTTTTCCTATAAAACCTCTTCCAGATAACTTGTTGCCGTCAGAATCTGCACACTATAAATCTCATTCCTAAGACAGAAACACCGTAATTGCAAAAAAAAAAAACAAACTTACACAGTGCTTTTCCTCAACGATACCGCTCCTATCAAATAAATAGCCACGTATTTTTAAAGCATTCCAAAATACATTCCATAATACAGTCTATACAATAAGTACAGTTAGTCGTTGCAGTAATTGTATAATATGACGTGGTAACAATAAGTTTAATCATTAAAATAGAATGGGGAGATCTGCTGCTAATAATAAACCTCATGTTGATTTGACTTCGACCAAAAAATAATGCCATTATTAAAGGATAACAAATATCAAGCTCTTAAAGTATTCAGTTTTATTCTATTTTTCCATTTTGTTGCTCATATCAAACCTGCATCTGTTTGTCTGACTGACTCTTTCGCTTTCACTGTATCTCACGCTTTCTTTTTCTCTCATTTTCCATCTTTGTTTTTTTTTCCCTTGCTCACTTCTTTCTTCATAATCTCTCTTTCTCCTCACTCATTTCCCAATCCATATGCTACAAAAGCCATCTGACACAGTTTTGTGGCTGTGACTGTCGAGTGGCATATGTTTAACATCTTATCATTAACGATATCCAGTGAAACAGTTGCCATTACTACATCAATATTTGTAACTGTTTACGAGGTAATTCTGCACAAAATAACACCGCAAGCTTTAATAAACAGACCTAATAAATGGTGATTATTTCCGTATATATGTGCGTGTGTGTGCGTGTATATACATATGTATACACATGTATATGTATGTGTATATATCCATATGTATGTATGTATATGTATATATATACGCATATATATGTATATATGTAAATATACATACAAATGTATATAAATACTTACACACATATATACATACATATATATGGTAAACCACATGAAACCCATAATACATCTAATGGTGAATGGCCGAGAAACTGAAGGTTTAGCGATGCCGGGTCAGACGTGAGGATCAATCACTGCAATTCGGTTTGAAGGTTTCGGATTACCAGGCAATTCTCCTCGGATAAGATGTTACGAGGAGCTTCGGGACAATTTCGGGCAGAAGCAGAAACATCCATGAGGACTCAAATAGCTCTAAAACACTAGAAAGGCTATATACCCAGATCCTACAAAAGTAGAGGCCATTAGTAAAATCAAGCCCCCACAAAATGTTAATGCAACTTTTAGGCTGTACAGGCTTTTTCCGCAAACATATCCTCAGGTATGCAGAGACAACTGCACCTCTAACATATTTCACCAGGAAGGGACGAAAATTTCAGTGGAAGGAAGAGCGCCTACGAGCACTTGAAGCATTAAAAGATCGGCTGACATCTGCACCAGTCTAGAGGAAGCCCGACTTTACCCCCGTTTTAGGTGCACTCTGATGCATCCCAGATTGCCATTGGAGAATGTTAGATCCAACGGGATGATGTAGGAGTCCCTCATTTTATGGTACATTACTTACCGATAGATGTAAATAAAACAAAATGCATTACACAATTCCCATTTCGAAACACTTTTTTTCCGAGCCTCATATAATTCACTGTTTACGATAACATCAATTCTCATAAATTGTCAACTACATGTCAGACCAAATCATCTAATGTCAGAACAGATTTCCGCATCGAATCTTCAAAAGTATTCTGCATAGAATTCAACTTTCAAAACTATTATATGAATAAAGGATTATTGACTGTAGTATTCCAGCAATTTAGAGCAATGCTTTAAACATTAGTTGATATACATATTACATCAGAGTGGTAAGTAAGAACTTGGTTTTGACAATAAAATATAATCTGAAAATTATAGATTCTAACAATATCAAATCACAGGATTTTTTCAGCCATGGTATATTAACACACCCCAGATTATTGTTAAGAACCTTCTGTGTCTCATATACCTCTTAGGAGAACTTTTATCATTCTTCCCTATATATCTAAAGACCGCTTATAACTGTAAAAAATACAAATAAACATGATTCTTATTTATCATTAACAGGCCCTTCATTCTGTATACATTATATCTCAAAATAAGTAATCACTTAAGGGGAATGGATAAAGATAGATAAAGGAGGAAAACATTCTAAGTGAAAATTCAATCAGCCGAATTTAAATACTAATCGTTCAAGATATTTAATTCTGAACCTGAAAACATGAGAGCCAAACCACATTTATCTCACACCAGGTCGCAATAGGTTACAGACACCAAATCAGGAATCACATCAAATTATGAGCAAGCAAGTGCCTCAACTTACAACATACTTGTGTTTTTATTTTCCCTTGCAGCAAACACAAAAGAGCCTCGAGGTGCCGATTCCGTGAAGCTGCCCTTGTCATAGATCACGTTGCCGCGGAGGACGGTTTGGTGAACTTTCCCTTTCAAGGTTTTCCCAATGTAAGGCGAGATCTGTTTGCGAGATCGTGTTGACATTTTACAAGTATTCATTTGGTTATTTTGAAATAAGGAAATATATACACTGAAAGTTGTAGATGATGACAAAGTTTTGAAGGTAATGATAAACAACAAAAATAATAATATCAGTGATGATATTGCAACTTCCTCCATCCTTTGCGGCCGAGACTTCAAAAATGTGCTGTACTTTTCAGAACGGTTCCTTCTTGTTAGCGGAAACATCAATGTATTTTGGTATTTTTATGACAACATTGCGCATCAAGAATTTTTTTTCTTTTTGTGTTCGGTTTATCGGCTTTAAATTTTGTAGTTTTTTAAGTTGGTACTAACCTAAATCGGTCACAGATGGCCCGATGTCACACTCAGCATGGAACTGTTGATACAGTAATAAATATCAGATAATGCGGATTCGTTCGAAATTGTGATAGTATTTAAGCCTTGTATCATTCTGCGAAGCTGATCTCAAGGTTTGTTTTGAGTCAACCGATTATCATATCCAATTTTCATATGTTCAGTCATCTACATTATATATATATAAACATAGGTATAGATAGATACCAGTTTAATAAAAGTTTAAATAATATTTTTAAATAATCTTGTATTCGTATATGTCTGTTCAAGTTATTTGTTTAAAAAATCCTCTCTTCAAAACCTTTCTCATTTCGATAGAGGACATATTGTGCACAAACCAGTAAAACAGAAGTATCCGATAGCTGTGTGAGAGCCTCTTCCACCTGCGCATAATCCACACTCGGGAACTCTTCCACTCCGCTGTGGATGAGGAAGCACTTGAATCCACATATGCCGTTGTCGACCATTTCACGCAGCTCGGAAGCGTTTCCTGGCGTGAAGTCGGGGCGAAGTTTGCTTTATATTTTGAGTGTTGGCATGATAGCAGAGAAAGGAAATGTTTTAAAAGATATGTGTCTCTTTGCTGATTCCGTTTTCTCCAAGAGCACATGCTCATGCACACACGCACCCTGTATCCTCACCGGGCACAACCCCGCCCCAAAACCCGACGTCGACCCAGCACTGCCCCTTCGCCGCCTCCATCTTCTCGGTCCACGCGGCCATGCTCGTGGTTGGCGGGATCGAATTCCTGAAACGTTTACGTCAGGTGTGAACGTTCTCGTAGAATTGTAAAACGCGGAGGTAAATCGTTTAGTGGTTGGCGGGATCGAAATGCTGAAACGTTTAATGAACTGCCTCGTCTCGTTCTCGTAGACTTTTCACACCCAGATGAATGCAAATCGTATAGTGAGTATTGCATGAATCATTTTATTACTGTTTTTTTTTTTTTTCATCTCTTCTTTATTGTTATTTTATATTCGAGTGGTCTCCCATGTGATCAAAAGGCAAAACGATAAAATCTCCGGCATCTCTTATAATTCCACCATTAAGGCCTTTTCATATACTTTTAAATGTTGCTAACCTTATTGCAAGTTCCTCACTAATGACGAAAATGTTCCTCATGGTAACATAAAATTTCTCTAGGATTCTGTTGCAGAATCAAAATTAAAACAAAGACCTCCTCACATTATTTTTGTCAGCTTCTAAATATAAACGCGCTAACCAGAATTATGTTGTGTGTATTTCATTTGTAACTATGATATAATCTTGAAGAGTTTTATTACATTCGGTAGGCTAAATTCAGTGTTTTAATTTTTAGGGGACATGCGTCTGTTTGTATATGTGTGAGAGTTAATATATTCCAATAAAATACACACAGCGTTCTTTTTTCACGTACTGAACGTTTCCTTCAAACAAACCTCTGTAGCTAATAGAAGGAATAATTATAAACATGTAGCCGATAACGCTGCAGTTAAACCATATGACCATAATCAAATCTATCTGCCTATAGAGCATAATGCAATATAGAGTATAGCCTATAGAGTATAATACATTATAGAAACATTACGACTTGGTAGAAAAATATCCTGGAACAAAACAGCGCGCCATAACTCACAGGGGCATGTCAACGATGGTCGTGATGCCGCCCGCCGCCGCCGCCCGCGTGGCCGACGAGTAACCCTCCCACGCCGTCCACCCGGGCTTGTTCACGTGCACGTGCGAGTCCACGACCCCCGCCATCAGGACCAGGTCTCCGCACCGGGTAATCTGCAGGAGAAACGGAAGCGTTGACGCACAAACACGCAATGCACACCCGCACGCACACGCATATACACACGCGCACACACACAAAAATACATGTACACACATACACGCGCACAAACACGCACGCACACATAAGCAAGAGCCGAAATATCAAGATTATCACGAAGCCAATGTCTCTGTGGATCCAGCGACACCAGGCAACTGGATCCACTATCGACAAGGGCAGACGTGGGCGCTCCTTAGTGCGAGTAATTTCTTCTTAAGTATTTCTTTTCAGAGTCCAGGGGGGTCAACTACCACCCCTAGCCCCCTCCCCCCAATGATGCCCCAAGTAGGGATACCAATATCAGGTTGAGCTCACAGCACTTTTACCAACTGCTTTCGTTTTAACTTATTAAGTAAAAAAAAAAAAGGAGACACTTTTTTTTAACATAAGTATGTATATATATGTAGATATATATTTAGACATGGTAGGACATCCCACATTGGACAAATAGATTTATTGAAAAATAATACACACACATACTCATATATATAGGTATGTGTGTATATATATACATAGGTATGTATGTATGTATATATATATATTTTTTTTTACAGCCATTCATTCCACTGCAGGACATATGCCTAAATCAATTCAATTTGAGAGGTTATATGGTATTGCCACCCTTGCTTGATTGGATGCCCTTCCTAATCAACCGCGGTTCGGCGCGCTAACATCTGTGCCACGGCGGTGACTTCCCCTACGACACCTGCGTTTGACTTCTCAAGGCGATATGTCGTTTTCTCGGCCTCGAGCCAGCAGTCAGAGCGCAGACATTTTTACGACCGCTGCGACGAAGAAATGGACTCAGGACCACGAGGGTCGGAGTCCAGTGCTCTAAACACTGGACCATCGCAGCAGTATGTATATACAGGGATGTATGTGTGTGTGTATACATATAAATACCCTCCTTGACAAGGCTTGAACTTCTGCCATTATAGATATGACCTAGAGTGAGCAGAACAAAACTAACTTGACAATGCGACCTTAAAAAAATAGGATTTGTTCAACCAAGATCATACCAGTTCCACAAAAATTACCTGTCTGCTCTTACTGCTTTATTCCATCTGACTTAGAATTCTTTCGAATTTCTAAGTAAGTTCCACCGAGTTTGGAAAAAAAAACCTTCACCGCCATAACTCTGGGATGAAGTTAGTATGACTCGAGTTGGAGTAGGGTGTAGGTGGATCGTGTGCTCATGCTGATTTAGTATTGCTTATTCTGGGCCTTACCTGGAGTGGCAGAGATTCGAGTCCTTGTTCAGGACTTTTATTTATTGTTGTATTGTGCCATTCGACTTTATATATAGATATACATACATACATACATATCCATATGTGTATGTATTTATATATATACATATTTTCATGCACGTATATATATATATGTGAGTAGATATATATATTTAATGAAAAAAAAATGTAACACACCAACACTAAGAGAGGAATCTTGAAACGTAATTGCATTCCTCTCACGACATGCTCTTTCACTGCATAAATATTCAAATCCGTTTATCTGGTCATCTGAATAGGCGGACACGTCGGCGGTGTGGCGGTTGATGCGCTGAATCCTTCCGTCTTTCACTTCTAAGACGGCTTTGCAGGTCTCATCCGGGAAAACCACAGCGTTACTTGTAAACACTTGCACAGCAGCCATCTTAACTACCTCTTGGGAAGGATGAATAAACGAGAATAAGCAGAAAAGGTACTTGCGTTGGGTACTGAAGATGCAAAAGAGCAACGAAGGGAAGAACAAGAAAAACACGAATATGCCGAAGGCCTTTTGGCTGTATTGCTTCTTCTTGCCCCGAACAAGCAATAAAGCGAAAAGACCATCGGCGTGTTCGTGCTTTCTTGTTTTTCTGCAATTTGCTCGACATGAATTCCACAGGTACTGCAGGTACTCGCACTTTCTTTCACGGACCGTAATTCATAATATATTAAAACAAAGTCCCAGTTATCAAGCCATGAGCAAACAACGATAATAGATTTCATCCAACAATAATTATTTAATGATTAATAAAAATAAATACAAATATTCCACCAACGTTTTGTTTTACAGTTCTCTCTCTCTCGCTCTCACTTAAAAGTTCACGTAAATTGTATAATAATATTAGCATACATACTTTAGTAATATGATATAGATACAGCTGGATTACATACACACATAGAAATATACACATCCATACGTATATATTTGTGTGTGCATATATTTATATCTCTCATATCTCTCTCTCTCTCTCTCTCTGTGCATATGCATATGTATATACAGTATACATAAATGTAAATATAATGCCTTATATTATCGCTGTAGGCGCCTGAGAGATAGAATGGGCCATAGAAGATTATGGTAGATGGCGAGCTAAGGGCGTAAGGTAGACAACCAAGATGTCTTGACTCCTTTATTGAAGGGTAATGTTCGAGTGCGGCTCTTCCTAGAGCGAGTTGCTCCTTGGCTCCCCGCAGGAAGGCTGCCTGTCACATTGTACAGTGATCTACGGGTGGGTAAAAATCATGTGTTTAGCATGTAACACCCGGTGAAGAATCACTTAAAAGTTCACGTAAATTGTATAATAATACTCTCTCTCACTCTCTCTCGCTCTCTCTCTCTCTCTCTCTCGCTTTCTCTCTCTCTCTCTGTGCATATGCATATGTATATACAGTATACATAAATGTAAATATAATGCCTTATATTATCGCTGTAGGCGCCTGAGAGATAGAATGGGCCATAGAAGATTATGGTAGATGGCGAGCTAAGGGTGTAAGGTAGACAACCAAGATGTCTTGACTCCTTTATTGAAGGGTAATGTTCGAGTGCGGCTCTTCCTAGAGCGAGTTGCTCCTTGGCTCCCCGCAGGAAGGCTGCCTGTCACATTGTACAGTGATCTACGGGTGGGTAAAAATCATGTGTTTAGCATGTAACACCCGGTGAAGAATCACTTAAAAGTTCACGTAAATTGTATAATAATATTAGCATACATACTTTAGTAATATGATATAGATACAGCTGGATTACATACACACATAGAAATATACACATCCATACGTATATATGTGTGTGTGCATATATATGTATATATACACATTCATAAATATATATATATATATATATATATATATATATATATATATATATATATATATATGTACATATCCATATATATTTGTGTGTGTACATATATTTATATCTCTCATATCTCTCTCTCTCTCTCTCCCCCCTCTCTCTCTCTCTCTCTCTCTCGCACTCTGAATTTCTGTCTAACGTGTTATCAAATGCCAAATTCTCTAAGGGATGTTGCTACCAAAATCGAATTCACATTTGGATTTTTCTTTTTTTATGTTGTTCACATCTGTCTGCATAGTTTGTGTGAATGTGTGAGAAAGTGAGACAGATAGAGAGAGAGATTTTTCACAAGTTTATTGAGAGAAAAGTTTACATTTCAAGAGAGAGAGAGAGAGAGAT